ACTTTTTTTTTTTTTTTTTTTTTTACAAAAAAAACAGCAGTAATTTTCTGAGAATTAACTTATTTTAATTAATTACCAGAATAATGTCGGAAAGCAAAGGAAAAAAATAATCATCCTAAAAGGACAGAAAACATGTAATTTCTGAAAAGGAAAGACTTTAGATTCTTTGAGAGGAAAAGAAACAACAGTTATTCTTATATTTACCGCCAAAAGGTGTATTTTTTTTAATCCTATTTTTTAGAATTAGAATAGCAATCTAACCAACATTAAGTCTCGTTTTTTTTCAACAGAAAAACAGTGCAGCAAAACAGTTCTACTTTTCAAAAAAAGAAAATAACTTATTTTTTTGATCGTTGCATTTTTCAAGAGAAAAAAATGTGTGTCAATAATAATATTAATATGCGGTGAGGAATATTGCTTGATTTTTTTTGGGAGTAAAAAATGCGATGATATCACTGGATTCTGATTTTTTTTTCCATGAGAAAACATCCTCGTGAGATGATCACTTAATTCTCAGAGTAAAATAGATTGTGGCCTTAATTTTGCTTGCTACATTGACTGTGTCAGTTGAAAGTATGAGTGTCATGAATGTCAGTTGGTCGTAAAATTAAGAAAAAAACCCTTGTTCCGACCTCATCGCCCTTCTCCTCCTTGACGCTGGCGGCCTCAAAGCCTTCCTTCTCGGACGGCACCCACACCATCTTCTTGGCCGCCCAGTCAGCTTGCGCCACACCGCTGTTGCGAAAGTCATTCTGCAGGAACAGGAACTTGCTGTCGTCCGCCGCCGGGTCCGCCATATCCACAACGCGTGCCACACGCCGGGCGTTAAAGTGGCCGCTGCTGGCTGGATTGGATTCTGCCGCTTGGAATGGAGTCCGATTCGCGTCTGGCCTGGGGACACCAACACAAGAATCTGACCCAACATGAGAAAACTTTTTTGGAGGGGTGAGGGAGGGTGAAAAACAGTCATATTCTTCAAAAGAAATAAGTATAGTAGTCATGAAAATGAAATCATATTGTTCAGGTAAAATTGTTAGATCAAATATTTTTGATTTTTCAAGTGAAAAGTTTATATTTTGTGGGGAGAAAAAGTCTTATGAGAATCTTGGGAGACAAAATCTTATGACATTTTATAAAAGAAAAGCTTTTTTTTAAGAGAAACAGCATTTTTCAAGAAACAAAAAGTTGTGATTTTCCAAGACTATGTTTATTTTTATTTTAAAAAATGTTTTTAGGCTGAAAAAGCATGAGAGAATTTTTTTGATAAAATTGCTTTTTTTTTTTAAACAAAAGTCAGATTTTTGACAAATTATACATTTTCTAGAAAAAGTAGACTTTCAAAGAAAAAAAGCAATCTTTTCAGAATAAAGTCACTCTGTTTCCATTGGAAAACAGTACATCTTTACAAAAGAAAAAAAAGAAATGTTTCTAGAATATTTTTCCTGGAGGAAACGAACATTTTCAAGAACCTATTTTTTAAAATAAAAAAAAGTAGTTATCACAAATGCTGATTTTAAAAATGTTTAAAAAAAAAAAAAGCATTTTTAGAGACCAAAAACCTTATGGGGAAAAAATGTGCTTTTTTTAAGACAAAGGATTGCATCTTTGCAAGAAAAAAAGGAGCATTTTTCAAGTGAGACAAATGAATAATCCTGAGAGAATAGAATGAAAAACTTTTTTCGCAGAAAAAAAGCATAAATCTCCAAGAATGAAGTCCTATTTTGAAATGTCTGTCTTGCTGATGGAACAGCACATTAAAACCATGAAAACGCTTTCCGATTCATTTGAGTGAACCTTCAAAATGTCCCTAAACCTTGCGTTCACTTCTATTTTGACTGTAAGCATTGTTGCATTTCCACAGCACACTACTTACTACCTTCCTCCGTGGAAGCCACAATGAGGCACTCTACGCCTTGACCTCCCGTTGCAGAGTCGCCAAAAAGCCAGAAAAATCACGACGAGGATAATGCAGACATGCCCTGCTGGGATGCCCATGTTTGGCCGGACCTTTTTGTCTCCCGCTAACCCGGCGAGGGCCGATGGGCACCTTGTGCCCGCTACGCTACCTTATAAGGCGCGGCAGCCTCTGTGTCCAGCCAAGCTTGCCGTTTACACCAAAATGCTGATACCACACTTAAAGGCACCATGTGGTGGCCAACAGCGCCTTACGTGGACACTTTTATGGTATTCCTCTTGGATTAAAAAAAAAAATATATATATATTTTCTCAATTTTCTCCTAAAAAAAAGAGTTTTCACAATCAGGAGTTAAACGTGTAAAGGATTTCCATTTCTAATGTGACTATTTAGCTTAAAATCATCGGAAGTCAGTCAATTGTGAAGTGACGTTTGGAGAAAGGTGAAGAGTAAAATGCAACTCACTGTACTCAGGTCAGGTGGCCTCCTCGGCGCAGGATGCAGGATGAAGGCTCGACGCCAAACGAGACAGAGTGCTCACAGTTGGTGGATGCCACTGATGAGGAGGATGAGGACGATGGAGAAGATGGTGAGGAACTTACTCCTCCCCCTCCTTGACCCCCTCCCCCCACCCCCACCCCACCAGTTTGAGCATGACACCTGGGCCTGGAACGGGACCACCAGACTGGGCTACTTAGTCCAAATTTGGCAGCAACACAAAAATTCCATTCAGCATTCAGGAAAAGACAGGAAGTAGGCAAACAATAGTGCTCAAGAGCCATTTTTGATTTTCACTATTAATAATTGCTATTATTATTTTCATAATTAAGATTCATATCGTGTCTGCTAAGAGACATGGATACTGGGGGGTAGCTGGGGGTCAATTAAAACGGACCGACGGGCTGGGCTATGTCAATTATACATAAGATCAAAAATAAGAGTTAAAATGTATACTGTAGGCAGAATACATTTTCATGAAATCATTCAAAAATACATAAAAAAAATCGGGGTCAATTAAAACGGACCGACGGGCTGGGCTATGTCAATTATACATAAGATCAAAAATAAGAGTTAAAATGTATACTGTAGGCATAATACATTATTTTCATGAAATCGTTCAAAAATACATTTAAAAAAATATTTTGCAGTTATTTTATAGATGAAATATATGGTTGACTTGTTGAAACGTCCACTTCACAGTGCAGAGGTGCAGGGTTCGATTCCGGCTCCGGCCTTCCTGTGTCGAGTTTGCGTGTTCTTCTTGTGCCCTTTTGGAAGTCCAAAGTGAGGGTCTCTGTGTCGCCCTCCTCCAACACAGATGATTTAAATGATCAGCCAGCTGTGAAGCAGCCTGATAACAACCCTCAATATTCATGTGGGTGTAGATCAAAAACAGGTAGGATCGCAGCCCTCAAGGGCCAGGTTCAATCAACTAACCCAGGTGGGACTTGAACCCACAATCCCCAGCTCCGGAGGCTGATGCCTTATCCATTAGGCCACTGGGTCCACATATCATTGCTCTCTAAAATTCCAGGAAAGACATTTCTTTATTCTCCCAGGTAAAATCTTGGTCGTTCAAAAGTTTTTAAAAAAATGGTTTCAGCGTGATGGTATTGCATTCTTAAACATCCATTAACTGATAATATGGTATGGTTGTTCGTCTATGTGTGCCCCGCGATTGGGAGGCAACCAGTTCAGGGTGTACCCCGCCTATTTCCCAATGACAGCTTAGATAGGCTCCAACACGCCCGTGACCCTTGTGAGGATAAATGGATTAGAAGATGGATGGATGGATTTACGATACATCTATTTGGCAATTTTATTTGATCACCAAATACAATCATCAAAAAGTGAATACATTTTAAGTTACCAATATTATGAAATACATCATGTTGGTCTGCGATTAGTTGGCAACTAGTTCAGGGTGTCCCTCACCTACTTAATTAAAAACCTGTTTCGGTGTTATTGGCATGATTCACTTGATCTTGTTGGTGTTTTTAATGTGCTTTTGAAGAAAAATATTATTTGATAGAATTCCGCCAGAACAGGTGAACCCGGAAGTGATCCTGATAGGGACGAGAGGCGACTTCGTCCTATTCCGCGGTGTGTGTCGTTCCTATGTCGACCATTTGACACTACTTCGTCCCTTTTTACTGTTTTTACTTTTCCAAATGCAACATGTGTTTCTTCCTAGCAAGCTACGCCACATGTACGGGCTATTGGGCGCATTTGATTGACTTCCGTCTCAATTTGTGAACTACTTTGCGACGTCAAAAAAGGCGGGCTCGTCTTCTTCCGCGTTCTTTATCGCTGCTATGACGACCATTCCAAACGATGCCCTGGGCGGCGAAGTTCCCATCAAGTTACAACTGCCATGTCGGCCCCACCGGAGCACAGCTACGACGTTTCCAACGATGCCCTGACCGTGTTCAGCGGCTCCTCTCCGGAGGACGTGTCCCACGCCCGGCAGCTGTGGAACTCCTTGTGCATGCCCACGCCGTTCGAGTCCCGACTGGTGTCGGCGGACATCCCGCAAAGGTTGCCCGTGTCTCGGCCAGAGCGTAGCGGCCACTCGGAACCGCGCCGCATCGAGCCGCCCAACCTGAACGCCGCGCAGCAGCGGGAGGAGGAGAGGAAGCGCTACCTGGCCATGGCCGCCCAGAGAAAAGAGACGCTGGCCCTGCTTCGGCGCCAGAGGGAGCAGAGGATCCAGAAGGAACTGCTCTCTGCGGCCTTCAAACCCAAAACCCCTCGAGACAAGGCGCCGAAAGACAACACGAACGAGCTGGAGATGGAAAAGGAGATGGTTAGTCAGCTGGACTGAACCGCGCAGGTCAGACGCCCTGAACGCAACGTACGACGCTTTCTACTTTAATTAATAACCTTGATGCCAGGACGCACCATACCACACTAAAGTCAACAAGAATACAGTACAATGATTTCCTGAACGCACCACCAAAACTATGTTTTTGGAATAGGCCGAAGCACCATATGACATACTTGGAGGCCCTGAACGCACCGCATCGCACGAGTCAACAGTATAGGCTAGGGAAAAATACGTACTGGAAGACCTGAACGCACTATTAAACACTTTCAAGTCTTTAAAGGAAACTAAAAATTAGCTCATTATTACTCTAACAAGTCTTTAGTGAATATGATTGAAGTTTTAAAGGAATAATACAAACCCTACGCACAACCTTTTGATTGTCTGCTACCACTGAATATGAAAATGAACCTTTATACTTGATTTTTGACATCAATAAAAATTCATGACTTAATAGGACTACAGTACTTGAATGCCTCACAATTTACAGTCAATGTGACTTGTTTGTTCTGATTAGTTTTACAAACTTCTGGGTTACATCATAGTTGATAGTAGGTTACAAAGAATGCTTCTGTTCCTTGCATGAGCCGTCATGATTTTGAACTTGTTGCCATAATAGGATAAGACGCGACTGACTTGACTGTTGACTCGAGCTCACCGAGCTTCCCGACTGCTTAAATATTTCCAGCCCTGAGTTATCTTTCACCCAAAGTTGGCCAGGAGAAAGTTCCAAAACAAAGTATTTGAGCCATTTTCCAAGTTCAGGCTGATTCTGCGGATGACGAGGCACACACTTGGGAGGGTAGGAGGTCCAAATATGCCCCAAATTCCTCCACCATGCTCACGAGACATGTACAACATCCAGTTGGCTTATACAGTTTGCTTATACAGCGCTGGGAAGTAACCAAGTAAAAATACTTCATTACCGAACTCAAAGGGGGGTGTTTGTGGGTCCCCCACCCCCAATTAAAAAAAACAAACACTTTTTGTTACATTGCACCGATAATTTGCCTCGTGCTGCTGACCCGTTGGCTTGAATTTCAGGAGCTTTGCTGAAACTATTTTAGAATACACACATTTGTGGAAAAAATAAAATCCCATCTCTTGTTTGATAATAATTGGGTATAAGATTAGCAAAAAGAAGCAGAGTGAATGGGCCAGGTGAGATGATTCCGATGCAATGTGGAATTGGCAACATTTCTACTCAACAGGTATGTTTATCATCTCAACTTGATTTTTAACTGACTATACATTCTTCTCCCGAAAAACATCAAACTGACAGCATTTTGGGTGAACGTAACACGCAATTGCAAATGAGTCATGCTAACGATGTAGCAGCTATGGCTAAAGTTCGGCTTGTTAACAATGCGTAATTCGAATTTCGTATTTCTAGTGCTGTTATTTTCATTTTTGCTTTTGTAAATTGAGTGACTCTTTCTACAAGTTTTCTTTCTTATTTATTTTTTTAAACACAAGTGGCTGGGTGTACTTGATACTTAGGTACAGACGAGTGAGTACTTTTGCCACCTCAGATTTTATATAACAATTGCCCAATAGCATAATTGCCCAAGCCATTTTTAAACGTACTGTCACAATATTAATAAAATTACGTATGTGCTTTCAATATATCAATATGTTTATTCCTTTATCTGTGTCAATGGTCAGCCATGGGGGTCGTGGTAATCAACAAAGGTTGAGTCGAGGCAACTTGGTGGTAAGTTGAACACCTTACACTTTTCCGGCCATGGATATTTCACGTTTTCGATTTTGGGTTTCGGGTTGAGGTTTTAAATGTCAGTTTGATACTACTGCTTTAAGTATGAACGATACTTTGACCAATTCAAAATACAGCAATTGTGTTAAACGTATTGGACACGTTTGGTTCCGAGAGCGGATGGACGGAGCCACAAAAGCTTTTGTAATGTCGTAACTTGACCATAAGAGGGCAGTAGTTCTTCACAAAGCAGCATCAGCACCACTGACCAGAATATCCATATTTAATAATCTTCATAACATCTTCTGCCTTCCCTTTGGAAAAAAGATATGAAATGCTGAAAAATATCCTTCCTGTAATGTAAATACGATCCTCTTCTATTCATCGTATTAAATTGACTTGAGCTGATTTGTGCATGTATTGATCATTCATTAATTGATGCCGCAATGCTCGTTTGAGGGTAATTAATACAAATAAATGAAGAGAGTAGCTTAAGATGATGCAACATGGCAGTAATAATCACACAGTTGAGCGTGTCCCAAACTCAAGATTTTGGAGGCGTCTGAATATTCAGATAGGTTTAGTGGGACACTCTGAATTTTCCCAACTCTCAAGAGCTGCTTTTGAGACGGGGTTAGGGTTGAAATTAAAGTTTAAAGCCTGTAATAGGATCTCGAGGGTTGCAGTTAAGACAGGGTTAGTTTTAATTTAATGTTTGAAGGCAAGCTGGTGTAACTGCTTACTACACTCTTGGGTGAATGGATTGGTCTTGAGTGTCACACCACTAAAGTGTCTCCACAAACCAGTGTGAAACAAGAGCGCAAATACACAAGCGGCTGCAGTAAAAGCAATACGCTGCCTGATTTTATGGCACCCTGGGAGTGGTGGTCTTGTAAAAAGTCTCTTTCCAAGAACAAGTGGCATGGCGCACACTGACGACTTTCAAGTGACCTTTGCCAGCCTCGCCACCATTTTGTTTCTCTTATAATCCACTTTGGAAAATTAGCACAAGAATGTCCGCTTCAAACCAACATGGCCTACTTCCTGTTCAATTTTGGCCGTGGGTCCTTGAGACTTTTAGGGCGTCCTCAACTAATATTTTGGGTTTCTTTTTCTCTTTTTTTTTCCCGGGATTCCTTCACTTTTTTCCTTTTTTCACGCAAAACTCAATTTTTTTTCTAACCCTCCAGGTGAGAGGATTTCCCTAAAATTATTTCAAAAAGGATGACTTCCTGTTCAATTTTGGTCAACAGTCCTTGAGACTTTTTTTTTTGTTTTTGCGTGTCTTGTTACGATCAATATCTCCACACAATTATGTGTTAATTGGAGAAATTGTTCCTATTTTTTCAGGTGAGCGACTGAAGGAATTTTCCCAAAATGCCTGAATTCCTGTTCACTTTCAGTCAAGTTTCCTTGCGTTTTTTTTTTTTTTTTTTTTTTAATATTCAAGGGCGCGTGAGTGACTTTAATAATAGACATGTCAACCCAATTTTGCGCGGCCGGTGAAACTGGTGTCGGGGGCTCAGCTTCTGTTCATTCTTCCATTTGTTGCACTTGTTATTGGAGTCGTAAAGCGCTTGCCGCCTCTTGCATCATCGCGACTGGAGCGTTGGGACGCCGCTGAGAGGCCCCGCAGGAAGCAGAACCCCCCCCAAAAAATAAAAGCCGAAAAAGTTGAGTACACTCAAAAGTTTGCTGGAGATGAGAAGTGAGCTGAATGACTCCAGAACTTCACACACGCGCACACACACACACACACACACACACAAAAGATTGACAGAATGCCTATGAATTTTAATTTAACAAAAAATCACTCTGGCTGTCGAGTCACGTATTATCAACTACAGATGACTTTCCACAGAGAGTTAGGGTTTAAAATGTGGCTTTTTAAGTCAGAGTTAGGTATTCACACAAGATTTGCGATGTCAAACAATGGTTTGAAGATATGGTTTGAATTTTAAAGCAGATATGGGGTCTCAAATTAGGGTTTCAATTCATGGGTTTCAAAACCAGATTACGGGGTCAAATTACCTGGGTTAGCGTTCCAAACCTGGGTTTGTGTGAATTAGTTTTAACAAAATCTGTTTACAATTTTTGTAGAGAATTGATGAGATGTCATGAAATAATAATAAAAAGAGGGACATGGAGGCTTTCAAAATTGTCCCGGGATTATTAAATCCTCCCGAAATCTCAGAGCCAATTTAATCCCGGTTGTTTATAATCTGCCATTTTTACGCAACACACGAAAGCGTGCGCACACGCTGCTCACTTTTGTGGTTGGTGCTGCACATTTGCATTCCTTTGTGCTGCCGTTGTTTTCGGTGGATTTTACAGATCTGAGGGGCACTCGAATCATCGTATTAGTGGTACTTTCCGCTGACTGCTTATGGTGTCTGCGTCAATTTTGTGCCCACAGACTGATTCCAAAGTCGTAAAAGGTTTCAGGTTTTTTTTTCTGAAGGATCCCATCTTGGATTTCTGTTATCTGTACATCTCAGCCACACTTGTAAATCATTTAGGGTGTCCATTCATGCCAAAGTTCATGGATGGGGACATCCCCCAAGGATGCCACAGACGATTCGCGCGTTGGCCGGACAGGCTGTTTATCTTGAAATAAATCTTTTACATAATGTGCATTATTTGTATAAATCCCAAAATGTTTCCTTAAAAGTGGGCAAACAAAAAATGCAGAACGATCGGTGAAATATCATTTATGGATTATGGAGTGTTGATGAATTCTTTCTTGGCAATCACTTCATTTAAATGCACAATGTATTCAACATGCAAATGCATCTTTGAAATATATTTACAATTCAATCAAAACGTTCCGTAATGACATTTCCTGAATGAATTTACTGTAAATGAATCAGAAGAGTAAATTAAAAAACTAAGATAATATAATATCATGTAATATAAATATATCTTGTAATATTGCTGGTTATTGAAACATTATCCCAAGCCATTATGTTCACACACCAAAAACATTTGTCTTCAAATGGCATTTAAATAAAGTTGATTCAAAATGCTACATGTAAGAACACCGTAAAATTCCGCTTCCTTTCAAGCTACCACTTGCTCACTCCTATTGTGCAAAAGGAAACCAAACCCACATAAAAAAATAGTGTTTCTATTAGAACAAAAACATTTGAAGCTTATCTTCAACATGGAATATCGGCTAGCGAGATATGCGCTTGTCACACGCTAATCATGAATAGCTGTCCTGTTAGCCACCATGTTGTGCTTACAAAACAAGAAGTCATCCATATTTACACATATATATATTATTTTTGTAAATGAAACAAAACAGTGAGATGTGTAAAACTCATGATTTATAACAAGTTCAAGTGGGATATCTGTGGCTAATTGCGACATTTGTTTCAAAGATGGCTGACATTAGCCACTGGTTGTGGTTACAAGAAGTCTGTAGTTTATTGTTTGTCAAATGTTTTACCATAATAAATAAACAGAGAGGCACCTAAAAGATATCATGTATCACTAGTCATCATAGCTAATGTTAGCTAGTTGCCTAAATGATGGTTATTGTATTAGCATACTATTTGTGGTTACAAAGCGAAAAACGTACTGTTTACTTTTTTCTAAATGGTGGAAATGTAGAAATTGGTAACTGCAAGCGTAGTGTGACTATGGCTAATTTTAGCTAATGTTACTCGATGTGAGAGATTAAAATGTTTTTGGCAAACTCATTGCTGTTGTTTTATTTATTGCATCCACCCATCCATCCATCCATCCATCCATCCATCCATTTTCTAATCCACTTAACCTCACGAGGGTAATGAGCGTGCTGGAGCCTATCCCAGCTGTCTTCGGGCATTCGGTGGGATACACTCTGAACTGGTTTGGCAGCCAATCACAGGGCACACAGAGACGAACAACCATCCACGTTCACACTCACACAGAGGGGCAATTTAGAGTATTCCATTCACCTGCCATGCATGTTTTGGAATACCCGGAGAAAACCCACGCAGGCACGGGGAGAACATGCAAACTCCACAC